TTGGCATGAGACCCAGGCTTGGCTATCAAATTCTTTCTTACTGGAGTTAGAATATTGGGCAGAGAAACCCACGGGCAGAGGATGGCTTGAGTCAGTTTTTCTAATGGAAATGGAACAAGGCATGTTCTTTTGTTCTGACATATTTTTTTACTCTCTCAGCTCCCTAAGAAACCATCATTTCTCTCTTTTTCAAAGCCCCCTAGTTTTTCAGCTTTTCCTTGTAATGCCCTTTTGATTGATGTTTATCTATTTAATTTACCAGTGAGTTTCTGATGCTTGAAACCGCAATTAAAATAGAAATGGTGCATTGTGAACAGGGAAAAGGGAGTGTGCATTTCTGATCCATTACACTTGGTACTTGACATTAAACAAGCTGTGTATCTTTCTCTCTCCTAGCTGCAACCAGGAGCTTCTTCAGCGCTGGGACCCTGCGTTTTCCTTTTCGTACCCACGTCAGTCAGCTCACAGCTGCCTTCTTATTAATTTACTTCTGGCTGTGCTGGGCCTTCGTTGCTGTGCATGGGCTTTCTCTAGTTGCAGCGAGCGGGAGCCCCTCTTCGTTGCTGTGTGTGGACACCTCACTGCAGGGACCTCTCTAGGGCACCCGGGCTCAGTCAGTGCAGCTCATGGGCTTAGTTGCCCTGCAGCATGTGGGATCTTCCTGGACCAGGAATTGAACCCATGTCCAATGCATTAGCAGGTGGGTTCTTTACCACTGAACCACCAGGGAAGTCCTGGGGCTGCCTTCTTTTTGCACTCACCACGGCTTGTAATGACTTATTTCTCTGTGGGATAATTTGTTTACTGTCTCCTCCCCCACTGTGCCGGAGGTCCCACGGAGGGAAAGCACATGCAGTCTTCACACACAGTGTGACCGACCAACCTGATTTGCCTTTGTCACATGGGTTGCCTGGTTCTTGGTCTGCTAGCGCCGGAATCAGGAAAATCCTCAGCAAATTGAGACTGTGGTCACCCCACCACGGCAGGCATACAGGAAGTTTTCAATCACCATTCGTCCCTGACCCTCAAGAAAGGGTCATGTTGAAAAGGACTGTAGAGGCATCCTGGCATAAGACAAATTCTTTTCTTAAATTACGTTTTTTCACACTTACTCTGTCCCAGGGAACCAGGTTGCCCGAAGCAGGAGGTTCAAGGAAGGGGCGTTCCAGCAACCAGAACTGAAAGTGCAGGTTAGAACCAGACGGAGGAGGGGCGCACACGCCAGGCTAAAGAATCTGAATACACACAGGTGCGGCAGATTCCAAGCAATTTAGAAGCAGGGAGGAGGCCTGGAAAGAGGAATCAGTTAGGAGCGATGCCTCAGCAGCATTTACCAGGATCTCTAATGAAGGAAACCTTTGCAGGGGCTGCTGAATGAGGGGATGAAACCTGAAGTCGTTTTGTCATTTCTTCCTAGGGCGTAGTCTGGGCAGAGAGGGGTTAGGCTATTTCCTTTTTCATTCAAACACAGCCATCTGCTCAGTTCAAAATGCAGAAAATGCACTCCTCTGGAAACATACATTCATTCGTGACTATGTGGCAAATCCCACTTCTTTGCTTCTCATGGAGATTCAGGGACCTGAACTATTCCAGGAGACCATCCTTAGGGTGGGTTTCACTCCTGCTCTGTCCTCAGGGGAAAAACATGGATGGATAGCCAAGCACACTTTGGGGGCCTGAAAATCATCTGAGAAGAATATGTTTCTAATCCAGCTCCCTCATTTCAGAGAGGGGCTTCCAGGTGGTACAGTGGTAAAGAATCTGTCTGCTAATGCAGGTGACTCAGGAGATGTGGGTTTGATCCGTGGGTCAAAAACATCCCTGGAGTAGAAAATGGCAACCCACTCCAGTATTCTTGCCTGAATATCCCATGAATAGAGGAGCCTGGCAGGCTCCAGCCCATGGAATCACAAAGAATCAGACACAACTAGCAAAAGCACGGCAGTGACGTCTCAGAGAGGGCCAAGAACCTTCCCAAAGAGACCTGACGGGTGAGGAGCACAGAATGGGCTGTTCACGCCTCACCTTTCTCAGTAAAGAGCTGAACAGCATAGAAGGGAGCCCCTAGCAGACGAGAAAGTTCTAGGAGGTGAACAGACGCAGAAATAAAAAGATAGAATCAGGTGGTTAGAGACTTTTTCCTTTTTAAAGTCTTTCTCAATCCTTATTACACCAGAAGGCTCCCACTGGGGCACTAATGTCTGTCACACCTCTCCAGATCTCCCATTTAAATGAACATCTAAAAGGCTTCATGAGCCTAGAGTCTTCAATGGGCGACCCTATTCCTCTAGAATTCAGCAATACTGCTTCATTTGCATAATATTTCTTTTTATGAGTAGCTTCTATTTGTGGCTTTCCATTTATAGTAATGAGTATGCTTCCCTTTAGAAGCAACATATTTTGAGCTTTGAATGTGAGACAAATTCAAGAAAAATAATGAGGGAACAGGAGACCCAGTAGACCAGGGGTATACAGCTGCTGCACAATTATTGGTGGTCCTCAAACAATTGAGGCTTGAAAACAGGGGCGGAGGACAGAGGTCCTGTGACCCCAGGCTGCTCACCTGAGCAGGCTCCATTCATGTCATTCAGCAAATGTCAAGCCTGAAATGTAAAAAGTGGTTCCTTAAATGAATTAGAGACAGAGACCCCGGAAAATGTCAGAGGATTCTTCCCATGACCTTGAACAGATAAACCTCCTGAGATGAGAGAGAGTAGATCTATTGTTTAACTAGGCAAAGGACCTCCTGGTGGGTAAGGGGTCTCCTTTCTAAACAAAAGGGTGGCTGGTGAATTTATATGTTTCCTATGAAAAATCACTGAAACAGTGATCATGGCAGGCATGGTGGTAGAAAGTCAGTAGCAGCCTTATTGGCACCCTGTGTTAAGTTCTGTGCTTCCAAAAGCTTCTCCCTTGATGCAAACTCCCTATAATGCTAATGCTAATATTATCTGACATTTAAGGAGAACATACCATGTGCTATGACCTCTTCAAAGTTCTCCATCCATTCATTTAATCCTAACATCAGTGCTAGGAGACAGGTATTATTACTCACATTTTACAGATGAGAAAACTGAGGTCTTGAGCAGAAGCAGATTCAAGCCCAGGCAGTCTGGTTCTAGAGCCTGCCCCCAACTATCACACTTCACAGAGGTGAGCGAGTACAGGCTTTATCTTCATCTTATAGAAGATGACTCTGGGCTTGGAGGGTAGAATAATTAACCTGAGATCACACAGCTAATGAATTGTGAAGTCAGCTAAACCACCTCCCAAGAGTAAGCAGCATTTTCCTGAAAGCAAGTCATTTCACTAATTAACAAATGTTTATGGAGCATCTACCACGTGGACAAGATCCCTCTTCTTGCACACACGTGCTCTTGCACTAGCCATGTACAACTGGGGGCATTGTGCCCTCCCTTCTCTCCCTCAGACAGGGAGGGGGTAGGGGGCAGTAATTTCATGACTTCTTCCTGGGGCCTCTGGGTATCTGGATGCATCTAAGGCAGATCTAAGGGCCCCAGAAACCTCACTGTGTGGCAGAATCAGCTAGCCTGGGCAAAGGCTGTAGAAACTTTATTCTGGTCCCAGTTCTGACATTTTCTGCTAGAGTCTGGGCCTTCCGAACGGTCTGACTTAACTGATGGGGTTATTGTGAAAATGCAATGGGATGACATGGCAAAAGACTTTTCTTCCTGTAAATGGCTCCACGTAAATGGTGGCCATTAGCTTGCATTGCTTTCTGGTGCATGATTTTTAAAAGAGAAATTATTGTTTGTTTCTAGTTGTCAAAGTTTGGGCGTTACAGAAAAACACACAGAAACAAAGAAAAAATTGTTCATTTCCCCTCTACCCCTTGATGGTCTCTATTAACCCATTGATGTAGTTCCTTCTGGCTATGAAAATGTAAATGTAAATATAATCATTGCCTGACAAAATCCAGCAGTGTCCCATTGCACTAAGAATAAAATCCAAACTCCCTGTAAAACCTCACCTTGGCTTTCAGACTACTTATGCTGCGTGTGCCTGACTCTCCCCTACCTGTTTTCTCCCGGCTCACACACTACTTCTCTTCCTTTATTTTCTTTTCTAATACTCCAGCTGCATTGTCCTTAAAGCCTTCGGCACTCTGCCTGAAATGCTCCTCCCCAGATCCTCAGGACCAGAGGTTTTTCAATATGCGGGAGGCGATCAAACTGTCAGTTCCTCGGATCAGCCCTACCTTGTCCCTCAGTCTAAACTAGCCCATCTTATATCTTCTTTATGGCACTGTACTACTCTCAGGAATTACCTTGTTTATTCTCAAACATATTCTATGTTTGTCATCTGACTGCCTCCCAAATAATACACTCACCTCGTTGCCCTCCATCACTTAAGTGTTCAGAATATTGTCTGGGACACAGCACTTTAGCGACTTGAAAAGTGAGTGGAGAGGGCGTGGACCGCGGTGGGGCCACAGCCCGCCTGGCCTCTGACGCCTCTGGTGGACCCCAGGGGCCCGCCCGAGGGGGTGTCCCGCCCAGGCGTGGAGCTCTGCTCTGACCTGCATCACGTCCTTGGCCGCAGGCCGGCCCCGGGCCGGATACAAATTCTCTGCGCTTAGAGCCGCGGGGGGCTCGCCCGCCACCGGACTCGGTGGGGCTGGTTGAGCCAGACCTGTGACCTGTCCCTCGCCTTCTAGTGGCGCCTCCTCAGGTGAGAGCTTCTGTCTTCCTGCTTACAGAGGAGCCCTCCCCACCAGCCAGCCCCTTCCCTGCCTGCCGGCCCCAGGATGGGCGAATTCAGGGAGAAGTCGGCAACTACATGTGGCACTATCTGCCTCAAGCACCTTCTCTTCACTTGCAACTGCTGCTTCTGGCTGGCTGGACTGGCCGGCAGGGCCTTCAGGCGTGACTGCATCAGCCAGCTGGCCTGGAGCACCTGCCTGGCCACAGCCTGCATCCTGGTGGTGGCCGGCGCTGTCGTCATGGTGACGGGTTTTGGGCTGCTCTGCCGCCTTCAAGGAGCAGAGGAACCTGCTACGTCTGTACTGCGTCCTTCTCCTTATCAACTTTCTGCTGGAGATCATTGCAGGAGTCCTAGCCTATGTCTACTATCAGCAGCTGAACGCAGAGCTCATGGACAACCTGAGGGACACCATGAAAAAGGGGTGCCCGCAGCCGGGCCACAAGGGCGTGACCAGCGCTGTGGACAGGTTGCAGCAGGAGTTCTACTGTTGTGGCAGCAACAACTTGCAGGACTGGCAGGACAGTGAGTGGATCCGCTTGGGCCAGGTAGGTGGACCCATGGTCCCCGACAGCTGCTGCAAGACCAGCCTCCAACATCTACAGAGTGGAGGGCGGCTGCATCACCAAGCTGGAGACCCTCATCCAGGAGCACCTGAGGATCAGCGGGGCCGTGGGCCTGGGCATCACCTGTGTGCAGGTGTTTAGCGTGCCCTTCACGAGCTGCCGGTACAGGAGCCTGAAGCTGGAGCGCTGTTGCCCATGTCCTCGGGAGCCAGCCCTCTGTGTGCGCCGTAGCTCCTCGAGATGCGGTGACTACTGACGCTCCTGACAGAAGGCTGCTGCAGTCCAGGATGTGGCTCTGCCCCCTCCCCTGCCGGGGAGACTGCATTCTGGTGCCTGGAGCCCCCACTGTGCCATCACCGGGACCTCTGGGGACCCCAGACCCCAGAGGCAGCTTCAAGTGCCTTTAGCTGCACACCAAAGTCCCAAGGCCTAAAGGTCAGCCCCACCTATCTGCTGGGGCGGGGATTAACTAGGGTCCCCCCTCCCACCACTGTCTTCTTTGGGCTGAAGTCATGGCCTTGGGTTGCTCCCAGGCCTGTGTGATTTGGGCAGAAATGGGCTGGCGCAGGGGGCGCCGAGCAGCAGGTGAGGAGGCCCCAAGTGCCTCCCCGCAGACCCCTCGGGTATTGGGGCCTCCTCCTTAACTGGGGGGCACTCCCCTGGCCAAGCCTCTGCCGCTCCCCCTGCTGCCCTCCCACTGTGCTGACTCCATCTGCAGGCTTGCGTTCACTAGTTCTTTGTTGTCACCCCTCCCCCGGAGGCAGGCGCCCCCGGGTTATAGTCACTGCGGTGCTCCACGCCTGGGGCTGCTCCCGCTACTTGGCAGGCGCTCAATAAATCGAATCTAAAAAATTTAATTCTGTGGAATTAAAATAAAAAGGAATGGATTTTATTAATGTACTTTCAAGCTGAGAGCATACTATATTAATGGTTTGCAACTGGATGTTTTCACTTAATATGGTGTGACCACAGTGACTTTTCCCGGGTGGCTCAGTGGTAAGGAATCCTCCTGCCAAACAGAAGACCTGGGTTTGATCCCTGGGTTGGGAGGATCCCCTGGAGAAGGAAATGGAAACACACTCCAGTATTCTTGCCTGGGAAGTCCCATATGGACAGAGGAGCCTGGCAGGCTATAGTCCATAGGGTTGCAAGAGAGTCGGACATGACTTAGCAACTAAACAACGACTTTTAATGGTAGTGTGGTAGTGCATTGAATGAATATATCATCATTTTCAACTAAGTCCCTGCTATTGACTAGTTGGGACATTTCTTTCTTATTTGATTTATTTTATTGAAGTATAATTGATTTACAGTGTTGTGTTAATTTCTGCTGTATAGCAAAATGATTCAGTTAGACAATCATATACATTCTTTTTCATATCCTTTTCCATTATGGTTTATCACAGGATATTGAATTTAGTACCCTGTAGGACCTTACTGTTTATCCATCTTATATGTAACAGCTTGCATTTGCTAATCCCAAGCTCCCAATCCATCCCTCCCCCAGTCCCCTCCCCTCTTTGCCAACCACAGATCTGTTCTCTTTTTGGGGTTGGAGGGCAGACATTTCTGATACTTGTGTTTGTAAGTGATACTATGGCAACCATCCTTGTATGCACAGAGTTTTGCATCCCTCCATGACCATTTCCCTAGGGCTAATTTCTAGCACTGAAAATTGTGGCATCAAAGGGGGAATCATATTTATCCTCTTGATATATATTGCCAGACTGGCTTGAAGAACAGTTGTATCGTCTCTGAGTTTGCTTTGATGACCCTTAGCATTTGGCCTTCTTAGTGGAATCCTCTGAACACAAAGGAACTGTCACAATCTCCTTACTTAAGGTTGAGGTCACTCAACAAGACAGCTGATGTCTACTGCCTACAGAAACCTCCTTCATTTCCCACCACAGGTACACCTTCAAGCACTGCTGACAGGGCCAGCACGTGATTTGTAGGGATCCTCTAAGCAGTGATGCTTTAAGACTAGAAATCACTTCGGCTGGGCTTGAGGAGTTTATCATTCTGGAAACTGATGACAGCCTGCCCCAGCCAGATTCTGTCCCAACTGGATATTCCTCCTTTTGTGTCTAAAACAGGCCCTGGGCTCAGCCAGCCGGCCTGTCGCTGAAGCCTGCCCACACCTGACCAAGTCTTATGTGCCTTTGCTCACCTGCCTCTCTATACTCTCTTCCATCTGCTCCCCCACGGTCTAGGCTACTCCCCACCCCCACTTTCTTGGAAGCCCCTCAGGGAGGCCCCTCCAGCCCAAAACTGCTGTCAGTCACTCTGATGACCAGCCTCTCCTCTGACATTTCATCTCACTGCGTTGTGTAGACACCTCTGTGCCTGGATAAATTGAAATCTCCAATTGAGTATTTGCCTCCCTCTGGGAACTGGTCCATGGTGGGGATAGTCAGGCCTGGGGCTGAGCCTTGCGTCTGCTTTCTACTAGCTCTGTGCCTTTGGACAATGTGCCTTTGGATCCTTCTGAGCCTCAGTTTTCCCATCTGTAAAGTGGGATTATAATAGTACCTATCTGAAAAAGTTGCTCTGAGAATCCAATCTGCATAAAGTGCTTCACAGAGTGCCTGACCATGAAACAATTGCTGAAAACAATGAACAAATAGGAACTCATCCTCATTTTGTCTCTACCTCCACAGAGGCTGAACCGGTGATATGCAAAATGTTAAAGGAAACATTTGTGGATGGAATGAACATATATAAGCCTTCCCTGTGTTTGTATTTAGCCTTACTAAACAGCATCCAGGGGGACCAGAACCAGCCATCTCAGGATCTAGGGGCAAAACAAGGAAAAAGGAATCTTGTCTTTAGCTGACTTCTCAGTGAGACCTGGATCCAATGTTTCCCCTCCCCACATTATCTGATTTAATCCCCGCATCAACCCTGTAGGGAGACATTTTTATGTCTCTCTGACAACAAAACCTACCCTTTTGGGACCATCTACTGTGTACTAGACCTAGGCAAGACACTTTTTAAAACTGTGATTTCATTGAAACCCTCACACTATTTTAGTGAGGTGAGGATAGTTATTCCTGAAGATGAAATGGGGTCAGAAAATTTAAGTATACCACCCAAGGACTGACAGGTAGTAAGAGAAGAGAATGAGACTGGATTTGGAAAAAAACAAAGAACCAATACCCCACCTTACCCTTCAAAAAAGCTAGAAACTTTCACTAACCACCTGACTTTTTGACATTCTCACAGAACAGAGCTCTGCATTCAGTTGGCGTTTAATAGAAAGGGGACTCCAGCTGTGTGGTGATCTTGGCCCTTCTAACAAATGCTTCAAAGGGAGCGGTTTCTATTTCCGGTGGCCATTCGTGATCTCCAGGGAGGCTGCTCCCCACCTCCTCCTCTGCCATCACGATGTTCTTGTTTTTCTCCGGGCCCTATGACTCAGCACACAGCTCCAGATGGCTTCCTGCATTTCCAGCCTCGTTGGCCGGGGTGCCCAGGTCCTGGTACAGTAAATTAAAACCGAAAATAAGTTACAGCTAAGAATGGAAACACTCTCTTCCCTGCCCTCTAATATGAAGACCGCAGGGCCCACGACTCATGCTGGTTGGTCCCTCTATGGCCTTAGCTTACATTGTTCATCCCTTCTAGCCCCGAGACACCCACATTCCACCCCAGTGCATCCTTGATGCCTTAAAGATGACACCCTGGGGTGAACCCAGGGGCCAGGTTCCGCCACCACCTTGGTTGATTGACCTTAGACAATTTTCTTTGTGAGCCTCAACGATCAGACAGGGACACTGATACTGCTTGCCTCTGAGGATTGTGGGGTTAGTGTTGCCAGATAAAATACAGAGCACCCAGTGCTATGGACTAAATCCTTATATCTCACCAAAACTCATTTGCTAAATCCTAATGCCCTACTGATGGTATTAGGAGGTGGGACCTCTGGGAGTTACATAGGTCACAAGATCAGCAGCTTCATGGATGTCATGAGTCCTGATACGAGACCCCAGGGAGCTCCCTCATCCTTCCTACCATACAGGGACACAGGGAGAAGACAGCTATTTGTGAACCAGAGAAAGGGCTCTCACCAGACGCCAAATCTGCTCGTGCCTTGATGTGGGACTTCTTAGCCTCCAGAATGACGAGAAAGCAATGTGTGTTTTTTAAGCCACCTGCTCTGTGGTATTTTGTTATAGTAGCACTAAATGCACTAAGACACTCAATTAAAATCAAACTTCAAACAGACAAAGATTTTTTTAAGTATAAGTATGTTCCAAATATTGCATTCAGATTTAACTGGGTAATTTGTAACTTCATTTACTAAATTTAGTAAGTCTGTGTAGAGTGAGGTGACAAATGTGGAAGTTCTGTGTCGCCTAGCAAGAGCTGTATACTTAACAAAGTCTTCACCATGAGGCATATGTGTATCAACCCCTGGACTGCCAGCTTGGTCTGGAGCATAGAACAGATAGATAGTTTTACCATCAGGTGGTGGAGAATTGTACCACCTCAGCCTATGAATTGGGAAACCTGGATCTTGTTTGTCAATTGCCTGTAGTAAAGTAATGGTCAAAATTCTTCAAGCCAGGCTTCAGCAATACGTCAACCGTGAACTTCCAGGTGTTCAAGCTAGTTTTAGAAAAGGCAGAGGAACCAGAGATCAAATTTCCAACATCCACTGGATCATTAAAAAAGCAAGAGAGTTCCAGAAAAACATCTATTTCTGCTTTATTGACTATGCCAAAGCCTATGACTGTATGGATCACAATAAACTGTGGAAATTTCTGAAAGAGATGGGAATACCAGACCACCTGACCTGCCTCTTGAGAAATCTGTATGCAGGTTAGGAAGCAACAGTTAGAACTGCACATGGACCAACAGATTGGTTCCAAATAGGAAAAGGAGTACGTCAAGGCTGTATATTGTCACCCTGCTTGTTTAACTTATATGCAGAGTACATCATGAGAAATGCTGGGCTGAATGAAGCACAAGGTGGAATCAAGATTGCCAGGAGAAATATCAATAACTTCAGATATGCAGATGACACCACCCTTATGGCAGAAAGTGAAGAAGAACTAAAGAGCCTCTTGATGAAAGTGAGAGGAGAGTGAAAAAGTTGGCTTAAAGCTCAACATTCAGAAAACTAAGATCATGGCATCCGGTCCCATCACTTCATGGCAAATAGATGGGAAAACAGTAGAAACAGCGGCTGACTTTATTTTTTTGGGCTCCAAAATCACTGCAGATGGTGATTGCGGCCATGAAATTAAAAGA